CCTTCACCAAGCGCTTGTCTGGGCTGACCATCATGTCTGAAGCCGAGTGTTGTCTAAATCTCAGGAGAACTTTGAAAAACAGGTATTGTCAATATTCTTCTTTCAAGAAAAGACTGTAAGCTGAGACTCAGGTAGCCACCTCAGACCGCGCAGCGGCCAGGTGGGGAAGTTCTGGTTCTAACCGTGCCACCAGCCTGGCTTCTGAGTCAGCATTTCAGTCCCGCCACACTGCCCTTCTATCAGGCTCGTCCCAGAAATCAGAAAACTTCCTTCTGGACCCTCCCCCCATCCCTGCTCTATCCATCTTCTTGTTTCTTTCTACCCCACCTCACAGTCTTCTCCTTCCCCAGCCCCTCTTTTGTGTTCATGAGGCACAGTCTCAGCATCCCAGGCTCGCCTGACCTCACTATGTAGCTGAGAATGACAATGAACTTTGGACCCTTCTGCCTCTATTCCCCAAGTGCTGGGATGTCACGTGTGCGCCACCACGCCAAGCACCATCTTATATTCTTTCTCATTTCTTTGTTCTGAACCCTGTGCCCTGTTTGTGTCTGGCCTCAGATCTCACCTATGCCATGGGCTGGCAGATGAGCACAGAAGCTGAGACAGGAGAAGGAGAGGAGCCTTGAGATTCTGAATCTTCCATAGGAATTTTTATGCTCACCACTACATCAGGAGGTATGACCCACAGCCTGCCTTAGTCCCTAACAAGCATCTTCTGCCTCTGGGAGACAAAATATAACAAAACCTGGAAATTCCAGTTCCTCACCAGAGACCCATTACAGAGCAGACTTAGGCCAGAACCTGTCACTAACATTCAGGCAAGACCATCTGGAATCACATCCTTTCTGGAATCAGTCTGTGTGCCAAAGATGGAAGGGACAAGGAAAGGACTACCCCCATCACAAATGACCACAGCCAGCCAAAGGGACCCAGACTCTCAAGGGGTCTTGAATTCTCTGCCAAGCCCAGGCTCAGGGGGGGATAACTGGGTAGTTGCTTTTGCTGGACTCAGAACCCATGATCTCAGAGAAGCAGACTCTGGATAGTGTCCATTGGAAGCAGTGGGTAGGTACACAGCCTAGGGGGGTGGGTGGTCTGAAAAGAGGGGAGGTGGGTGTTCCGAGGAAGCTCAGCTCACCCGGGGCTTCCACCAGCTCTCAAGGAGGAGTGGTACCCGGAACAAAGGCCACCTAGGGGAGACAAACTGAATGCAAGCCTGTTTGACACAGCCTCCTCACCCCCGCCGGGAATAAGAGTTTAAAGACTGATTTCTTTTCTGAGTGCCTGTCTCCCTTCTCCCCGAGTCTGCAGAGAGTAGGGACCAGACCTTCCTCTACAGCTGTGGCCAGCAACTGTCTTCTTGCTGGGTCTGACTCAAACCCTGCAGTGTCAAGAAGGTGGAACCCAGGTACAAAGAGCTTCATCAAGGGACATCCCAAGCTCCAAGAAGGGGATACAGGCTGCCGAAGGGGCAGAAATAGCCTGACATGAATCCTACTATTTTAACACTGTATTCAGCTAGGAGTCCAAGAGAATCTAACTGTGATAGCAGAGGCCAAGAGTGCTACGAAGCTGAAGACAAAACCATGGGAGGAATGGGCTGGCTTCTGGTGGGTGACAAAAAATCATGTAGAGAGTTCAAAAAATAATCTACTTTAGTGCTACCAACAGTCTGAAAAGTGGGACAATCCTCTGTCTTCCTGCCCCAGGGACAAGAAACTAAGACCCTAGACGGGCTAAAACATATGAATACCCGCCCCCGATCTCATGCAAAGATAAAGATTGACTGTGCTTTCTGAGTAAGGTAATTCTTTTCTGGTTTTATGAGTGTGTGTGTGTGTGTGTGTGTCTGTGTCTGTGTGTTTCATATGATTATTCTCTCATGATAAACCAAGATTGACCAAATAATTTTTCTGAACCCACCTATCTTCATATCAGCCCATCTGTATTCATTCATTTTCAGGAAATTCAAGTTTTAAAGGTAAAAGATAGCTAAATATTGACTCACCAGCACCATTTTCTCTGTGGCATTTTCTCTGAGGATGATCAACAGTTGCAGCCAGGAAGCATCTTTCCTGGGCCTGCCCTCACTTGGTAGTTCTGGGGATCATTCGGTGTCTGATTTAGTTAGCCTGGCCACGAATGGTCTCTGATGGCAGAAGTCAAGAAAAGCAATCATCTCTTCATAGAGATGAGCTCCCCCAGACAGGAATGTCATGTGGGTTTTGTCAGTGCTTCCTGTGTGAAAGGTTACCATGGTCAGGAGAGAGAGAGACTCATGTGAGATTCCGTGCCAGGCAGCATCAGGACTGGAGTCACGGTCCTTCCTGAGCCCTGCCCTGGGGTTGAGCTGCAGGTGAAGGACTGGGGACAAGAACAGTCTCTATCGTGCATGAGGCCCAGGAGCCCTGTGGTATTGTTTCTGATACTAGACCACTTAGGAAGACAGGAGGGGAGATGGAGGCCCGCCCCCACACCTGGGGCTGGCCAAGGAAAGGTTTTAAGTGTAGTGCAAAGTCAGTCCATAGTTCAAGTGCCACCTGCCCTAGGCGAGACCTGATGCAGCCCCCAATGGCTTCTCAGCGCTCTCTGTCCCTGAACCTCAATCATCTGTGGGTTGCAGTCCCCAAGGGAACCAAAGTAGGACAACTCATACCCTGCACCTAACTAACTCCCCTAGCAGTGGCTGGGGTGAGGGAGGCGAGGCTTTTCCTAAGTCACCTCAGAGAGCACAAATCCCCTCCAGATACATAACCCCTAGGCTGCGGCAGTCAGTGCTGCCCTGCCTCAGTTGCCCCGCGAAAGAGTGCTTGGTCTTGGTTACCTCCTCTCTCCTAGTGGCTTCACATGGCTAAGGCCAGGCCTGCGGAGTTTGCTTTCAGAGCATCCGTGGGCTGGTGGGGGCTTCCTCGTGAGGTGCATCCAACTCAGGCCCTCCCAGTGTCCAGCATGGTGAGACCAGCTTATGCCAGGCAGCACAGCCTTCACAGTGTAGATCTGAGTCTCCTGGCTCACCTAGGAACCAGATCATTCTTCCTTCCTGGGCAAGGTGGTAAGAAAGCAATACATTGGGTCCGTGACAGTGAGCTTGGAACACACAGAGCTGGGAAAGCCCCACCCCGTAAGCTCTGAGGGTGGACAGAACAGGTCTGGGGCTTCTGAGAAGGCCAACTCCTCTACTGGGGGCTTTCAAACGCCGCCTGTCTGATTTGGAGTCTATCTTATTGTGAGTGAATTAATTGTTGTGCAACCTAGAGTGGTGAGACAAGTTAATTACATAATTACCACAGAATGACATGTTATTTCATGGCTGCAATATGGTAACTCTGTTGGAAACAATTGTAATTGCCCAGAAACGGCATTCGAGTGGCTCCGTTATCTCTCCAGAACCATGTAATTAACTTGTGTTACAACTTTATCTACAGCAAACTCTGAAGTTAGGAGTCAGGCCTTTGGGGCAGGCACCCTGGACCTTAAGGGTCCACAGAGGGCCTGGGGTAGAGGACTGTGCTACAATCCAGGGAGGTGATCTGCTTTTTTTCAAGTTGAGGGAGAAAACTGTATATCGTAGACTCTAATTCCCCCATCTCTGCACTTACTCAGCCTCCTTCCCAGCCCACTATCGATAGCGCAGTCAGCACCCAACCCAGCCACACCTAACACACGTCACATACACAAACACCCCCTGGTGCGCTGTCTCTCTCTTTCTCTCTCTCTCTCCCTCCTCACACATGCATGGGCATAGCTCCTTCACAGAGAATTCCTACCCTGTGATCTCTGGTTCTACCCATTCCTTCCCCTGGCCACAAAACCAGGCCTCAGAGAAGCACCTGACAGCCTTATCTCCACACTTCAGACCGAGGAGTGGGGCTGATGCAGAGCTATGGAAGGGGCAGCCAGATCCAGAGGCCACAGCCAGGCTCCTCCAATCATCCTGGTTTCCAGGCTATGGCCAGGTAGAAAACAGGCCCCGAGGAAGAGAAGCAAAGGCCTGGGTGGAGAGCCTCTCCATGCAGCCTGCCCTGGCCAGACTTCTTACTGCTGCCCTTCCAGGCCCTGTGCCCGGCACTGTGGCATTATCCCTGCTACTCTCGGTGAGCCCAGCTCAGCCAGGCAGATAGAAACGCCACACTGTCTGCCTGTCTGCAGGTCCTGCTGTCTTCTGGCCTGGGCTGTCTGCCTGCTGGCTCGCCTGCCTGTCTCTTCTGCCTGTCGGCACATGTGTCTGTCTGACAGTATGTCCTCTGTCCCTGACTCTTAAGAATCATCATGGCCTTTGTCTGCTGCAGGGAACAGGCCCATTCAGGTCTCCCCAGCAGCATTATGTCTCCCCTGGTGTGCGCTGAAGCCCCTTACTGAGGCTTCAGCTTTCTAAGTCCCTGGCAGACTCCTCAAGAGCAGGGACTGTGTCTCATCAATGATTGAACCTCATGCCTGATTCCCTTGGGGTTAACGCCAATGACTAAGACCTGGAGTAGAATGAGGGTTGCCGAGTGGCTCCCTGACCGTCTCCAGCCTGCATAGATAAGCTGAAGGGAAATAGAATTGTTCTTAATTGATGAATAAGATTCTAGGTTCCAAGTCAGTCACCGTGAAAGAGAAGGGGGATTAGGAGGGTACTGCCACACTATGGAAGCTTGGGATTTGGGGCTCTACTGTAGAGCAGGGCAGAACTGGGTCCCCATCTGGTCACTTTGCTAGCAATTCCAGTGAGGGAGGGGTAGTCTAAAAGAACACCAAGCATCATGCTGGCCCCCTTCTTAGGGCTCTGCATGGCACCAGGATGCATGCTTTGTAGGAGGGGAAGGGATACCCCAGTTCTCACCTGTGCCTAGGACACTCTAAGTTATTCCCTTCCTTCTGATCCCCAAAGCTAAGCTTGTTTTCCTCCAGCATATGCTGGAGTCTGCTTCCCCACGCCCTACCCACCAGAGGCAGAAGGTAGGGAGGTACAACTGTGTCAGTCACGTGAACAATGCAGAGTCATGTCCCCGGAAACATTCATAAGTTTAATCCACGCCAGTAATAAAATCGCATTACATTTCTCATAAAATAAATGTTCCCATTTATATACACAAGACAGACTGTACAGGCCAAGCCTGGCCCCAGGAGGGCCCACAGAGATGGGCGGTGCTGATGGAGAAAAAGCCACCTTCCCATTGACGATGACGTTCTAACTTGTAGGACAGCGGCTGGCCAGCCCGCGCAGGCAGAGTGGCTGGCCAGCCTGCCAGGCAGGTGGTCAGGCGGGCGGACGGACAGATGGACCTGGAGGCCAGATGCAGGGCGTTACTGAACCTGGGATTCAAAGGTGCCATTGAGCTGCCCCTCCTCATAGTCCATCTGACACAAGATCATGTTGTTCTTCAGAAAGAATTTGTCTCCCACGCAAAATCTAGAAAAATCCAAGCAAGAGAGAAAAGGCTATAGGTGAAGTCCAGCAAGAGGAGGTCCTAGCCGGGCCCAGGAGGGGGAACATGCAGGGGAGGTGGTGGTGCTGATGAGCTAGTTCCGGGAATCTTCCAGAGATATGGAAGAAACATCAGAGCAGGCCTGGTCAATCACTCTCCACAGACCCCTGCAGCCTGGGCTGTGGGACAGACAGTAAAGCCACGGGCCTCCCACCATTGTGTTACTCAGGGAGGTGCAGGAGGAATTCAGATAACTCAGAACAGTCCCGGAGAAGGTGCAAGAGGGCACGGAACCAGAACTAGACAGAGAGGAGACAGGTGGGGAATGAGAGATGAGAAGTGGGGAGGGAGACGAATCCCTTTGCCATCCCAGCTTAGGGCTTGAATCCTCGAAAGAAAGTGTGACCCAAGCCCACAGTTTATTCTCCAACACAAGGGAGATCACACTTTGGTCTCTTTGTCCTCAGGAAGTATTGAGGGATTTCAAGCTTCTCCTCAAAGATATCTATCTACTGGTGGCTGAGACTTTAAGTCCCAGCATTACCGACTCAATCCCAGCATTGGCTCTCAGTCCAACCACCAGGTGGCGATGGAACTTCACAGTGCTAGGAGGCGGTCTGGCCAGCGCACTGGGCCAGCCTAGTGTCCCCTGTGCTGCCTCTGGATCTCTCAACCTGGGAACGTTTGTATGAATGCCTACCTAATCTGAGGGCTCCTGGGGAGATGTCCTGATTGTTGGTGGTAGGTTCCAAACCAGGGGTGAAGGCCTTAAATCCCTCAAGGCTTCCCCCAGGACTGGGAGAGTGTATGGGACCCAAAAATTCACCAAGGAGAAATAGAGAACTGGAACCAGGAACACAGGAGTGGAGTGAGGAGGGAGTGATATTCCCTGAAGAGATCTCTCACCCTGTGGGCCTGGAAACCCCTTCTCACTAGACAAGACACAAAACACATGCACACAGGTACAGGATAGTACACACATGTTTAAAGCATGTGCATAAACATTCTCACTTCATCATGTACATGCAGTATACATACACTCTTGAGAATGAACAAGTACACACCAATCCCATGCACTAGTATCCATGTGTACACAGACATTTAAAATACATACACAAGTACATATATACTGGACATAGTGGCCTACTCCAACAATCCCAGCACGCCCAGAACCAGGGAGGTAGAAGCAGAAGGATCATGAGTTCAAAGTTATCTACAGCAAATTGCAAGTTTGAAGTATTGGCCTACTTGAGACCCTGTCACCAAACAGAAATAATAGAGGTTGGATTGGAAATGTAGCTCAGTTGGTGGAGAGCTTGCTTAGCATGCACACAACTGGGTTCAGTCCCAGAAATGAATGCACCAGGCATGGCAATACAGGCCTGTAATCTCATCTCAGCACTCAGGAGCTAGAGGCGGGAGTTTAAGGTCAACCATGGCTATCCAGCAAGTTTGAGGGTGGCTTGGGGTACATGAGACCCTGACACGAAAACCCCTCCCCAAATGTCCATCTACTTAATATACATAGTGTGAAAATGCACACATATGCCATCATTAAGTTAATACAGGAAGTTGCCACCCATATGTGACCACAGGGTGTAGATACACACATGCACACGTATGGCAATGGCAGCATGCATACTCGGCTACACACACAAAAGAAGCCATACTTGCATGCATGCCTCTCCAGCAACCCTGGCCCAAGCAGCAGGCCTCAGTCTGGGGTCTGGGAAGTGTGCTGGGTTGGCGGATGGCCTGGCACTCACCTCTGATTGCAGAGCTGGCAGGCGAAGCAGTCAAGGTGATACACATTGTCTCGGGCTCGCATCACCATCTCGAAAGCTGGGATCAGCTTGCTGCAGGCAGCGCAGTTTCCTGTGGTGCCAAAAAGCCTGCCAGGGGAAGGGCATGGAGGATTCAAGGACCTGCCAAGGAGCTGCCTCCACCCAAGGACCTGCCCCTTTCTCTAGCCCATGGGATAGCAGGTGAGCCTATCCCACGGACAACTGCTAGATTGAGCTTAAAAAAACTGGCATCTCCCTTCCCAGGAGGCTATGTAACTTAGAGTCGGGTGTTAGCACACACAATCCCCCTACACCCATTTCAGGTTTCCACCAGACTCCCTCAAGGCTGGCCCCTAAGCAAAGGCTCCAGACCCTCACAAGCCTAAGTCTCTGAGGCAATCTGCCCATCATGGGCTGTGTATCCTCAGGCAGAAACTTGGAACCTCCCAGAGCCTCAGTTATCCTGACTGTCAAAGACTAAAATGTATCGCTCACAGGACTATGCACTTAACAACGTGAAACCTTAACCCTAACCGAGCCTGTAGCTCAGAGACATGCTAAGAGTTTACAAAAAAAAAATCACCTCCTTTGATCTCAACACAGCCCTCTGAGGTCATCCCCATTCAAGATAAGAGTGACTCACAGCGAGCTAAATAGCTCTCTGGGGGCACATGCCTGGCTCCTCTGGGAGAGTGATCTATGCCACTGACTTCTTGCTTAAATGCAGTGCTTTCTGGGGCTGTAGCTCAGTCAGGGCGCTTGCCTAGCAGGCGAGAAGCCCTGGTTTCCACCCCCAGTACCACATGAGTCCTATGTGGTTATCCATGTCTACAATCCTAGCACTCAGGAGGCAGAGGCAGGAGGAGCAGGAACGGAAGGTAATCCATATCTACACAGGGAGTTCGAGGCCAGCCTAGTTGTCACGCCTCAAAAATAAGATTATGGTGTTTTATGAAATCGTGTTCTGCCGTAATCTCGCTGGGTCACTCACCTATGCATCCTTTTCCCTTTTGGAACCTCAGTTTATCTTTTTGTAAAATGAGGCTGCCAGACCAGCACAGCCTGCCTAAGATGCTTCTCACCTTGAACTTGGCCCCAAAGTAAGTTCCAAGGGAAGCTGGCACAGTGGTCTCTTAGGGAGGACATCCCTCCTGGCCGCTGCTGGCTGCAGAGCTCTGGGAACAGGGGGACAGGAAGTTCACTCCCTCCCCATTCATAGCAACCCTTGGTTGGGCGCTCTAATGGTCAGAGCAAACCAAGCTCCGCCTTGCTTCCTTTCTGCTGAGCAAGCTCCGAATGGTGCAAGGGGGCTGAGAGGCGGGTGGTGGGGCCCTCTAATCCCCGATTTGTCGATGGGGCTCAGGCACCTGCAGACCAGCTTGGCTCCATTATTCCCTGGCCTGAGCTGCCTGGTGGCTCAGATAAAGGCAGACAAAGGCTGGGTCACACCATCTGCCTGCCAATGGGGGCCTTTTCTGACACCAGGAGTTGCTGCAAAGGGCCAGCTCTGGGTAGTCACCCCTCCCTAACTTACTGGCCTACCTGCCTCCAGAAGTCATTCCTTACCCCTACTAGAGCATAGGTACAAAAGCCGCCAGCCCCTATGGCTGCTAGGGCCCGGAATGCCATAGGTGCTTTGGAGTTCCTGACAAGCCCACACTACACCACGATGCTCCTCGCAGTCCTGATGGCAGGCCACCAATTGTACAGCCACCTCTCCTTAGTCTGCTAATTCAACTACCCAGACGTCCCAAACCTCCAGACTTGAAGGTCCCCTTTCCATGACCTTGGGTGTTAACTTCCTAAGCATATCCTTAACCTTTCCTCCCAGCCTCAGTTCCTCTCTCCACCCTAAACACTATCACTTTAAAAAAAAAAAAAAAAAAAAAAAAAAAAAAAAAAAAACCCTACTTCTAAAGCTAAAGGCAACAATTGAAAGGAAAGGTGCAGACAGGTAAATCTCAGGCTCTCCAGGGAAGGTGGGCAGTTCTAGATAACCCTGCCCCCTCCAACTTGTCCTTACTTGAGCAGAAGTCCCATCAGCTCTCACCCCATTCTGCTAATTAATGTGATAGGCCTCCCTTCCTCCCAAGGCAGCCCGGCCACCGTAGAGCAGCCAGCGACAGCCAAATGCAGGTGCTGGGTCTCAGCCAAGGCCCCTGCTTCATGGCCTCCTTCCAGCCTTGCTGATGTCATACATGGCCTAAGGGAGGGTTAATTGGGGAAGGCAGCCCCAGGGGATGGGATCCAGGTTGTGGCAGAGGGGCAAGAGCTCTGAAGAATGCAAGGTGGGGAATGGGGGTTTTAAACAGAGAAAAGGTTCCAACTCGATGCCCAGGGCTGCTTCAAACCCAGGTCTTTAAAAAGCATTGGCAGTAGTGGCCTTGCCCTAGGGTACAACTTCCTGCTAGTCAAGAGAATGAGACCCTAATCCCAGCACACCTGGGGAGAGGTGGGCAGGAGATGCTACCAAGGAGAAAGGCCCAGGCAAGTCTGGGCCATTTCATCTACTCCTCCAGGCCCCTCTGAGGTATCCCCTCCAAGATACCCTTAGGAGATAGGTAAGGCTGAAGCCAGGCTGGTACCCATGGGAAGATTATCTTGGTATCCAATGCTATTTGTGCCTGCTTGGAGAGTGTGGGGCCAAGCTCAAGGAGTTAAAGACATAGGCCTGCTCTGGGGTGGCTCACGGGGCTGACAAAGGGGTAAACAAGGAGTAGCCACACAGCTGTGTACACAGGTTGTCTGGTTTAGAGCTTGGGGCCGAGTTGCTCCAGACTGGAAGGATAGGGGCTGTGTGTGCAGGGCAGAGCAGCAGAACCCACCTCAGGTAGTCACGCCGGCACAGGATGAGGTTGGCCTTGGTGTAGAGCGTGGAGCCCACCTCGCCCAGGCGGCAGTCACAGCAGGCACACTTGAGGCAGTCCTCATGCCAGTACTTGTCCAGCGCCTTCAGCAGGTACCTGTCCTTGATCTTGCGGTTGCAGCCTGCACAGCCCTTCTGCTTCCCTTTAGGTTGGACAGAGAGCATCGGCACACCTGTAATGGAAAAACAGACGGGCACGGGAGTGACCTGGAGCTCTGGCAGACCCTCCTCCAGGGAATTGGGGGGGGGGGTACGTCTTTCTCTCTACTGCTTCTTCTAAGTAGAGGATCCCTAGAGTCCTCACTTCCTACTTCTTCTCCAGGCCCCAAGTCTGGCCTTCAAGCAGCATGCCATGCCTTTGTCCTGTCTAGACCCCTCAAGAGGTCTAGAGGCTGCTGGCCTTGCTGGGCCCTTCCCTTCCCAGCCACCGTGCCCTGTGTGGTCCGATCCAGGCAGACTCACGTCCTCCTAACACAGTCAAAGTTGGCCACATTAGAGCTAAGAACGAGTTCCACCAAGAGTCCCACCTCCAGCATTTCTTGAAGTGCAAGGGTTACTCTGCATTGGACCATGGCAACCTCCGCCCATAAGTATAGAATGGTAGCATCGGGAAGAAAGGAGGAGGCTCAGGGTATCAGCTGAGGGGCTGTGTGTGGCTCCCCTCACACACCACCAAAGTCAAATTTCTATCTGTCCTGGTCTGAGAGAGAGAAAGAGAGTGGAAGGAAGGGAGGGAGGGAAAGAGGGACGAAGGTTCCAGAGCCACTGAAGCCTGGTTCAACCTCCCTGTTTAGGAATCTCCCTCCAGCAGCTCCCTCAGAAGCTTCTCAGCATATAAGGAGCAACAAGTACCAGGCAAGACTCAGTGTGCAGTCACTGAGGGCAGAGCCTGCTGGGAGGTTAGCAGGAACACTCACACACACTCTTGTGCACAGTATAATGTGCAGGTGTGGACAGAAATGAGCACACAGACACACATGCCTGGTCCCTTCCCCCAGAACCACAGGGAAGAGCAGCTGAGGAAAAAACAGGGCACACGGTGTCCACACAAGAGACCCCAGAAACCAAATGTCTGATTTCTCAAGGAAGGCTGCTGCAGAACAAGCCCCCTCAGAGAGCAGAGGGTGGGCTAGAGGCAGACTTTACCCATGACTAAGGCACAGCCAGCAAAGCCTGCCATTCCATCAGGCCAGCTACCGACAGGCCTGGAGTCTCTGCTTCCCCTGGCCTTATCCTGTCCCAAATACATATGTTGTTTCCAGGTATGTCATTCGGTTCTGTACCCGGGTATCTCTGCCACACCCAGCCCCAACTCTGTACCCACCTACAGGCCTAGCTGCTGAGCCACCTCCCTCCTTTGCCCTTTCTTCTATAGAAAGGAATATGTATGTCCTCTGGCTTTAGGGGAGAAGCTGCCTCCTAGAGACCTTGGATTCATAGCTGTCTGGTCAGAATGGCCCTCAGCTTTCCGGGCAGATGCTCTCCCCTACATGAAGTTCGGGTGGTGATTGTGACAACTACACCACGGATGGAGACAGCTTCAGGATCTGCTCCTCTCCCGTGTTTCTCCTGCCAACCCCACTGACTTCTGCTGGAGAAGAGGAGAGGCCCTAGGTCAGGGAAACCCTCTCTGCAAGAAGAGAGCTCAGACCTATGGCAACACAGGACCAAAGGGACAGGTAAGGGCATGGAGGAGGATGCCCTGTAGCTGCCCCAGGCAGACAGAGGTTGACCCCCTTTCCCTCCCTCCTCCAGTCATCGTAGGACCATCTGTTAGCTGGGAAGTTCGCCGCCTAATTTCCTTAATGCAGCTCTAAAGGTTAATTGGTCTGAATGAGAGATAGTCTTCAGGATGATGGCTGTCCCAGGGTCAGCCTGTGTCTCCTCTGACAGAGCTCAGCTCTGTCTGCCCATGCAGCAGACCTCATGACAAGTTCCTTCTAAGGCTTGGCCTACAGGGAGGGATGAAGTGTAGGAAAATAGGGGGTAGGCCTGAGGTTCCAAGGCTGGGAAGACTGTCCCTGGGGCCTGTGGAGGGGCACCCAGGCAGTAGAGCTGTTCATATAAATACTAATTCAGATCTCAAGGTGGGGCCATTATAGCCTCAACACGACTGCCCTCCTTCTTCACCGGGCTTGGCCTCTCCAGGCTCTGTACTTGGGTGCTATCAGTAGGCGGGTGAGTAGCTGCACCACACCAGGGAAAGCTTGCAGCCACTAAGTCATCCTCCTAAACGAAAAAGGGACAGTGCAGACCCCAGCTCTAAAGCATCTACGCCAGCTCTTCTGCCTGACAGTTGGCATTCATTCCAAGCTTGGGCTTCCACATTCCTGGCCACACTTGAGGACCCAATGGAAGCCACAAGGAGTGATACCACAGGGTGCTCCTACACCCCTTACATTTCCATCCTCCCTGCACTTATGCTGGGCCTGCCACACATAGGTTACCTAAAAACGGTCTATGCAAGGCTCTGGGACAGTGTTAACTCTGATCCCTGGGCTCTGCCTAACTCTTACAGAAGTGGAAAGCCTGCGGAAGAATCCTACGACCCTGATTCTGGACACCAACGCAGAGTTCACTGAGATTTCTTCACCTAGGAAAAGCCTATCCCAGCATGAGCCTGTGGATAGACCAAGCTGTAGCCAGGTAGTCCAAAGGAAATGGTCTAGCCTCTGACCCTTAGTTCCCCCATCTGCCCAGTAAGGCGAATGGAAATAACCCCTTGCTTCCCGCTGGAGTGGTTTTGACTCTGCAGGGCCGAATCCTGTAGGGGAGGTAAAAACACCTCCCAGGGAAGTAAAGGGGCTTCAAGGGGGTACATTGACAACTTCCTGCTCCCCAAATGAGGCCTGGGCTCCCACTCCTATCTCCCCAGCCCCCTCTACCCTGCCAGCCAGCCAGCCCTTCGCAGACCCTCCCGCCCCTCCTCCGCTGGCTCTGGGAGCAGAGCCTCGGGCCATGTACTTTCCATTAGGGAGATGGCAGCCCTCTGCTCAAGTCCATTTGGGATCCATTTTAGCGTTATCTAAAAATCAAATCTACATGGTAATCCTTTTAACGTACTCCCGACTTCAGGAGGGGGGAAAAACCAGCTTTGCACTCCTTCAGGAGAGGTTTTAAAGCATTACCCAGTAATTACGACTCACGCATGAAAACACCCATCTTTAACAATGGAGGCTGCCTGTGCCCACACACAGGCCCAGGCACACGCTTAGGTACACACACTGGGCCTGGCAACACAATCGGCTCACTTAGCCCATGTGCCACCCTCAGTCTCAGGGTGCAGAGGGAATGATATCTGAAGGGACACAGGCTGAACTCCTGTCCTCTTCTGTCCCAGGGAGGGGGCAACAGGGCTGCTGAAGGAGGTGGCCAGGCTGTGGGGGAAGTCTTCAGTTTCCAGGTCCCGCTGTCAGCAGTGAGTTACCTAAGAGGTCGGTGCAAGGCTCCAGGCCTGTACAAACTCCCATTCCTGGGCTCTGCAGAACTCTGACTTCACCCTCAGCTCTGCAATGTGGGCCAAAGTCAGACACCCCAGTGATGAGGTGAGCCGGGCAGAAGCGATCAGTCCTTCCTCCTACGATGCTCCTCACCCTGGAGGGAGGCCTTCTACACAAGAAGCTGTCTGCCAGCCAGACCCCATAGCCTCAGCAGCTCCTACCTATGCAGCCCAAACCAGGCTGCTCCTCTCCAGTGGGATGTGGGCGTCTCCAAATCGCAAGGCTAGTGGGCTCCACAGTGGACAGCAGAGAGAAAGCCCTGAGTCACAGGAGGTCCCCCCCACTTCTGCAAGGCCAGTTTGCCCATGATGTGTCTACTCCACTCTGCTGCAGGTCCCTGCAGCCCACACCTCAGGTATGCCTCCTACTGGATTGCAGTGCTGCCAGTGACAGATACCTGGGGACAGAGACTGCAGGTGCCAGCCAGTATATCCTGCTGCTCCTGGCAGCATCCTGGTGCCCTTCCTGTTCGAGCCTTGCCAGGGACCTTGCTTGGTTTCTGCCCCAAGGGTGGTACTCACCACTGCTCCAGGAGAAATGCCATTGTCCAGGCTATGTCCTCTGTGCCGTAAAGGACAGAGTCAACTGTGGGCCCTAAACTGGGGGCTAGAGGCCCTCTGGAGAGCTAGAGGCCCAGAGCAGCCCCTCCCTCCTGACCTGCACCTGTGACACAAAGCCAAGGGTTCTCACTGTTCTCAGACTGTAGGTCAAGATGCAGCTAGGAACCTGAGGCCATAGCCCAGAGGCTGGAATGGGGTAAGGAACAATATATACTCCATTAGGATGCTATTCCTTAGGGTACTTGCTTCTTCTAAACTTTTTATCATTTTGAGCTTTACATTATTTGTAAAGATACATCTTTTGTGTTACCCTAGCTGTTCTGAAACTAACTCTGTAGACCAGGCCGGCCTTGAACTCAGAGCGATCCACCTGCCTCTACCACCTGAGTGCTGGGATTAAAGATGTGTGTCACCGCCGCCCGGTTTAAGGTTAATCTTAATTTTGTGTATGTCAGTGTGTGGATACGTGCATGTGAGCCCCATGCCTGTAGAGGCCAGAGGCATTTGATCCCTGGAGCCAGAGTTCCAAGAAGTTGTGAGCCACCTGGCATGGGCTCTAGAATGTGATCTCAGGTACTCCCTGAGCAAGCCATGACGAACAAGACAGTCAGCAGCACCCCTCCATGACCTCTGCATCATCTCCTGCCTCCAGGTCCCTGCCCTGCTGTCCTGACGTCCTTTGATGATTAACAGTGACGTGGAAGTGTAAGCCAAACAAACTCACTCCTCCTCAAGTGGCTTTGGTCATGGTGTTTCATCACTGCGACCATAGCTCTAGCTAAGACACTCATTCACTCGAGGAATTCCTAGTTATCCATCAGCACTTCTGAGGCAGAACAGCCAGCTATTTCTGGAGTATCCCTGATCTAGATTTATCTGATACCTTTTCATTAACCCTGGGCCTTAGTTTTCCTCTTTGTAAAACAGGTATGAAAACAATACTCTTGCTGGCCGTGGTAGTGCCTTTAATCCCAGCACTTGGGAGGCAGAAACAGGTGGATCTCTTCGAGTTTGAGGCCACTGTGGTCTCCATAGTGAGTTCCAGGACAGTCAGGACTATGTAATGAAACCCTGTTTCAAAGAAACAAAAACAAACAAAATCTAAAACCAAAG